ATATCTTTTGATAGCCGGGCACCATCAGCTTTCTTCACCACATTTGCTTATGTACCCGCTTTGTCTTCAGGCATTGTGTTGGGAAGGCAAGCATCATGGAATGCCAGTTTAATAGAACAACGTGTTCTTGCATTGAGGGAGTACTTGAGGGGAGGCCCAATGTCCATCTGCTACCTAATACTAAACCTATAAATATATGTACACAGATCTATTTTCCCATCGTCATATTTAAATATATTTACATATGTACATGCTTGTATTTAGACCTCTATAAATGCCCTTTGCCTCCTAGTTCCTTCCTCTATTTCCTTTTACTTTTCTCTGGTCCCACTATCATGCTCAGCCTTCATTTGGGTTTCAGTAATTCCTCTCTGTTGCATTGCCCTGGATCAAGCCCTTTGAAATGTTCTGTTCAGCTCTTTGACTTTATCCTTTCTCCCATTTGCCTCAGCTACTCTACGATGAAGAGCAAGTTTCAGAGTCTCCTGTGACATCCACTTTGACCTTTCCTGTCCTTTGAATGACCACTTCTGCTTTGCCCATGAGTGGCGGTCTTGACGTCCTCCCTTAGCTCACCGGGTCTTGTCATGCATGTTCAGTGCAGCACATCTGTTCTTGAGATGGTCTCAGAATTCAGGTGGGATGTGGTCAAGGTCGTATTTTGGCTCTTGTTTTAATTCTCTTCAACTTCAGCGTACATATGAGTCATTGATAGTCTGTCCCACACTCAGTTCCTGGCTTCTCCATCGCCTCTTCCCACAAATGGAGTAGTTCGGTCTGTGTGTTCCATCTGGAGATGTCCACCTGTATAGGCACTGTTTGTGTTACTGAAAACAGTATTTGCAATGAGGAAGTCATTGGTCTTACAAAGTTCTGTCATGTGATCTCCGGTTTCATTTCTATCACCAAGTCCATTGTTTCCCAACTACTGCAGCTTTCTTTGTTTCCAACTTCTACATTACAGTTGCCAACAGTTCTCAGTGCATCCTGGCCGCATTAATCGGTTTCAGAGTGAAGATGTCGGTAGATTTCTATCAACTGTAGGTTGGCCCCTAAATTTGAATAAAAGTTGTCTACCCGGATCTCCTTGGATGCGTGTCCGCATGACCCTGTCAGAGGGAGCTTGGGATCTCAAGGCAGCTCTCGAGGTGCCCTTCTTGGTGAGGCCTGCAAGCCATTCCTCTCGAAACTGCCCTGCCGGTGCATATGTCAGCCGTGGGGTGCCCTGCCGGTGCGTATGTCAGCCGTGGGGTATGTGTTCAAAATGGGCAGCCCAGCCCTTCTCAGCTCACTGACACCTCGAGTGTCCGGCTTTCTGCATTCCAGCTCATTTTAAAGCATGTGCAGTATTCCCAAATTCACACTTCCTCCCTTCCAAGTTCTGATTAACAGATGTTTGCAGCTGTTTCTTCTTCTTTTCTTTAACCGTTTTATTAGGGGCTCATCAGACAACTCTTATCACAATCCATACATACGGGTCAATTGTGTAAAGCACATTTGTACATTCATTGCCCTCATCATTCTCAGAACATTTGCTCTCCACCTAAGCCCCAGGCATCAGCTCCTCATTTTGTCCCCTCCCTCCCCGCTCCCTCCCTCCCTCATGAACCCTTTAAAATTTATAAACAATTCTCCCTTCACCCACTTTTCTGTTGTCCGTTCCCCAGGGAAGAGGTCACATGTAGATCCTTGTAATTGGTTCCCCCTTTCCAACCCACCTTCCCTGTATCCTCCCGGTATCGTCACTCACACCACTGGTCCTGAAGGGATCATCCGCCCTGGATTCCCTGTATTTCCAGTTCCTATCTGTTAACAGTGTACATCCTCCGGTCTAGCCAGACTTGCAAGGTACAATTGGGATCATGATTGTGTGTGTGTGTGTGTGTGTGTGTGTGTGTGTGTGTGTGTGTGTATCAGGTATGAGGTATCATCAGAACCAAAAATCTTACCATAGTGAATGAGGGGGGGAGTGTGGAGTGGAGACCCAAAGCCCATTTGTAGACCACTGGAGAGTCCCTTACAGAAGGGTCTCAGGGAGGACACGAGCCAATCAGGGTGCAACGATGAAAAATACAACATTCCTCTAGTTCCTAAATGCAGCTGTTTCTTCTTGTTTGAGTCGTGCCCCATCAGCAAACGCAGGCCCTGAAGGCTTTGGCCCCCGACTCGACTTTGAGCACGCAGCTCGTCTTCCTCAGTCACATTCTGAGCCCCTCCCAACCTCAGAGCTGGACCGTCTGGCACCATCTCTGACAATGTTCTGCTTTTGTTCTCGAGGCTCTCGGTAGCTGGCCGTCAGTGCTTCCTCGCCACCCGTAAGGTTTCCAGTGGCTACTTCGTCCACAGCGGGCAGCCAAGTCCTTCTGTGTTGTCCGTCTGCTTAGTCTGGACGTGCCTCTGCAACCTGTCCACGGTGGGTGACCCTGCTGGCACCCACACGGAAATACCAGTGACACAGCTTCCAGCATCCCAGCAACATGCAAGGTATGACAGACCGACAGACAAGTGGTGCAGCTGGCCTAGACTTGTGTTATTTGGGGACATCCAGGTCTGTCCTACCAGCTTGTACGTCTGTCCTGATGCCAGCACCACAGTCTTACGGCTGTCACTTTGCAGTAATTTTTGAACTGGAGAGCTGAGTCCTCCAGCTTGGCTCTTTGGCAACATTGTTTTGGCTGTTCTGGGTTCCAGTGTTACTAGATTTTAGAATTCTCTTGTCAATTTATACATAGAAGCTAGCTGGGATTCTGACTGAATCGTAGATCCATTCGGAGAGTGTTGCTCTTTTAACAGTATCTTCCAATTCACAAACATGAGATTTCCCCCATTATGATAGATCTTTAATTTTTTTGACACTGTAATTTTCAGAATGTTTTGTGCCATTTATTCCTCCAAAGAGAAAAACTCCACACTCCCTGCCGAGTTCATGCCGACACACGGGACCCTCTCAGCCAGGGCAAAACTGCGCCCCTGGGTTTCTGAGGTGTGGCTCTTCATGGGAGCAGAAAGCCCGTCTTCGTCCCGGGGAACGGCTGGTGGTTTTGAACTGCTGAACTGATGGTGAGCAGTCTCCCACCAGGGCTCTAGCAGCTTATTCCAAAGTCATTGGAATTTGATTACTTTTGGGGGGTGGTTCAGTGGAAGTTTGATGCCATGCCGCTGATTGCTATTGATTAGACCCCTTTTCTGGTCCGCTGTAAGTAGTTGCTTTTTTCTAGTCCGCGCGTCGGAATTGTCATACGCAGCATCGTGGCGTCTGTGAATAGAACGAGCTCTGCTGCTTTCCAGTGTGGGTACCTTTGGGCTGCTGCCTAACTCTCTTTGCGAGAGCTTCCGATACAGTAATACCGAATAGCAGTGCTGCTTGTTCCTGTGGTTTCAGGGGGGCATCCAGGGTTCTCCCGAGCATGAGTTTAGCTCTGGGGGCTTCAGATGCCCTTTCACTGTCTCACCTTCTCGTCCCAGTTTGCTCAGTCGTTTTGCTTCATAGTCTTGAAAGGGGGTTGGATTTGCCACATTTTCGCTGTGTCTGTTAAGATGAAGTGACTGTTTTTCCAGTTTGCTGACACGGTATATTAATTCATAGATCCTAAAACTGAGGTATCACTAGGTCACTGTGTGCGGTTTCTTTTCTGCGCTGGTGGGTCTGGTGTGCTTGCACGTCTCGGAGAACTTGTATGCACATGAAACATTGTCTGCAGCTTTCTCTTGTGACGACTGTCCGGTGTGGGATCAGGATGTTATCGGCTCACGGGATGAGTCCGGTGCTTCTCTGTGTGGGTACATATTGGCGATTTTCACGTCTCCTCTGGACAAACAGCCCTTATGTAGTTCATTTACTGTCGCTTTTTAATCACTTGTTAGGAAAAACAGGCCATGATCGTTTGTGTGGGAGCCCCATACTTCCTTCTCCGGTGCTGGTGGACTTGTGTGCATTTGGGTTGCTCCCTGGGCCCTTGCTCTGAGCCTGAAGGGCTCCTTTGGCGTTGTCTGGGAAGTGGGTCTGCTCGTCACGGACTGTCCATTTCTATCTGGGGACTGAGGCTCTCTTGTTTTTTCCCCTTCACTATAGAGAAATGGCTTTCCTAGCTATAGGATTGTTGGTACTTCTCCAATTACTGTTTCCTAGTGTACTTCTAGTGGACCATAAATGTCTTTGTTAGCTCTGAGGAGGCCACCTAAGGAGCCCATTCCGATCCCAGAGGAAGCAATGGCTCAGAGAACCCTCTTACCGCTCACTCTGTCCCAGCGACTCACGGGAGCAGGTAGCCCCTGCTGGTGAGCGGGCATGCCGGCCGGCCGACCTGGCAGCTAGCAAAAGCAGAGAGCAACCATTGACCCTGCTGCCCTCTCTCTTCTGAAATAACTCAGTGATCAGTGGGCGTTCAGCAGGAACCAAATTGTTTGCACTGCCTTTGGGTAAAAGGGCAAGTCGCTACCAGATTGATTTTGGTCAGCGATTTCTCTGAAATGAGACGGCGAACACGGAACCTGCGACCGCTCTCTGACCTGTGGGCTTGACATGTGTCGGAGCTGGAACCTGTGATTTCTCATGTTTTCTCCACTGCTGGCGTCATGCGTAGGAAAGCCCACCCCAAAGATGACCCGCTAAACCGGCACCCTGGCTGTCTCCCACAGGTACGTCTGCAGCAGCACATGGGCGAGAAGTACACGGCATACAGTGTAAAAGCACGACAGCTCAAGTTTTTTGAAGAAAATGTGAATTTTTGAGAATTTGTTCCAATTTGCTGCCAGAACTAAAGATCTATGATCAAAGACTTTTGACTTAAACAGAAAACCAAGCAAACCCCCGACAGTGGCTCAGAGGCCCCTCGGCATCCTCATAGCCCCGACCGGGAGCTTTCCTGCGGCACAAGCCCACGAAGCCAGAGCACCGAGCAAAGCCAAGCCCACATGTCACTCTTTCTACGAAGGAGTCTCTTATAGTGACGTGTGTGCTGTTTATTGAGCCTCAAACTACCAACTTTATATCTAGAACTTTATTTTTTTACGGTACTAATTAGCTTGAGAACAAGACAATTAGATACTGGATTGGGTTAAAGTTTTATATTGAACGATAGTGATAAAAGCAATAGGAAAACAAATGACACAGTATGTCCAGTGATATTTTTGTTAATAATATTAGTAGTTTATAATTTAAGCCAGTTCACAATTGCTTTGAGGAAGCTGCAGTTAAGTTCTTTAGAAGCTGAATTCCTTAACATTTTTAAATGTTCATATACTGTGAGCCTCATTTAGCCTACATTTATTTAAGAGTTGAGACTAAGACACAGGCTGGCTTTGTAAATCAGTATATTGTGATGTACTGGTTTTAAGATTTATTTCTATTGGTTAAGACAATCTCGTATGCACTTTGTAACTAATGTCGATCCTTGTAGTTCGGTTGAAGATATGTAGTTTGTCTCCTGAAACATCGTCATGTCCTTCAGGGTACAGGCTGTGTTCTCATATTCTGCATATAAAGTCTCTCTATTGTATGCCTTGTTAACTGTTCACTTTCAGAATAATGCCCATCTAAGAAATAAAGTTTTTATGTCTTATGTAGGAAGTTGTCGCTTCTGTATTCAAGGGCTCTGGAAAGGAACACTGCTGGAGAACGTATCTGTGTGACAGCCCCAACAGCCTTTGCGCCTCGCACGCGCTGCCTTCTGCAGCACCCTACCAGGCGAGCAGAAGAGAGCACAGGCAGCCTGGCACCTCGGGCCTCATGCTCAGGCCAAAGGTTTTGTTAGAACTTAAAAGATTCCTTGGTCCCAGTGTAGAATTTGGGGGGAATCCTTGGCAAACTGCAGGTCTTCCTGAGCTTAATATTTACTTTGGGAAATTTACTTTTTTCTGGAAATATGTACTGCCACTCAGTACATATTCTTAAGAATTAAAAATCTCTCCCACACTTGCTTTGCTGTTATTTTGCTCAAACATCTAGCAACTTCTCTTCTCCACGAATACTTTAGAGTTGTTTCTTCAATTGCATGCGTATTTGTCATCTTTCTTACATAGCTTTTTTTTAAAGACA